TTTTTTTTTTTTTTTGTAAGTAAGTTTTAACTATTGCTGCTACCCTTCAGCTAACATTTAGCAGATAGCAGATTATTGCTTTTTAGGGTATATTCCATAAACCACCTGTCTGTGAAATGGAAGTGAAACAGTGAGCAGAAATACCAAAATTACACCCAGGGTTTGGAGGAAGATTTATTTATGTTGATAGGCACTAATCAGGGTCATTTCCAAAATATCAGGTCTTGATATCTGTGGTCTAGGTCTTATATGGGACCAGCAAGCAGGAAGGACAGAGGCAGAATGGCCTAGTCAACTGGGGATTGGTTCTTACAGTATGCATCATAGACCAGCTATGTATCACAGTGACCAGCTGTTCCTAAGAAGCAAAGGTCGTAGGGACTGACTGGAACTAATACTGGGCAACTAACAAAATCAAGTATACTGATGGGCGGACTATCTTCTGCTACAGAGGAATGTATGGAAATGGAAAGTGTTCACAGACTCTTTTATATTTAGCATTGCTTTAATATCTATTCCCTTTTAGAATAGTTTTGAGTTACAATTTAAGTTATTATAAAATTCACTCATTATGTACAGTTATTTTTAGTAAGTTTTTGCAATCCTATAACCATTATCACAGTTGGTTTTTTGAGACAGGTTGTCATATAGTCCACATAGCCCTGAACTCGTGGTGATGCTCTTTCCTCAGCCTTCTTAGTATGGGATTGCCAGCATGCATCATCACCCTTGGTACCAGAACACTATTTTAAAATACTTTCCTTGGGGTCGGGGAGATGGCTCATAGGATAAGCGCTTGACTGGCAAACATAAGGATCTGAGTTCAATCCCCAGTTCCACCAAAAAAAAAAAAACAAAAAAACTTTCCTTAAAAAAAAAATCCCGGGCTGGTGAGATGGCTCGGTGGTCTAAAGCACCTCCTTAGAACAAGCTAAGCTAAGCAGAGCACAGGGACCGCAGTTCAATCCCCCAGCACCACATGCCAGCCAGCCCCGCCCCCTGGTGAGCTGAGCTGCCACACACAGACACAAAATAAATAAATAAATATTAAAAAAAAATTAAAAAAAAAATCCCTTATTCTTCCAAATTCTCTTATCTGTTTGTGACTAACTCTGGTTCCCAGCTCTAGATCCAGGCAAAAACTGATATTTTTCTCTATTTTATCTTTTTATATATTTTGTCTTTGTAGAAATATCTCATACTCAGCATGATACAATATAGATTTTATGTCTTCTATCACTATAATTTCTGGGTGTTCTCCATATTACTGAATATAATAGTTTTCTCCCTTTTGCTAAATAGTATTATGGTCATATTTTGTTTACCCACTCATCAATTGAAATTCACTTGGATTATTTTAACTGGGAATACTGCTATAAATATAAATACATTTATACCCAATCCCCTCAGCCCCATCCCTAGTTCCCAGTATTGGCCATTAAACTCAAGGTCTGGCCCAGGGAGATAGTTCAGTAGAATAAGCACTTGCCTGGCAAGCGCAAGATCCTGAGTTCAATCCCTAGTACTTCAGAAAACAACAACAACAACAAAAAACCCAAACAAACAAACTCAAGGCTTTTTATCTCTTAATTTTTTTTTTTTTTAATCAGTCTCACCAGGTGGCTAAATTACCCAGGTTGGGCTCAAATTTTGGATTATCCTGCCTCAGCCTTCTACTCACAGTCTAGTTAACACAGTCTACTGCAAGCTAATACTAATGTAATTGTGGTAAAATATAGCAGTTTTGTTTCAGTATAGCCTAGCTCTTTCCCCCCTCTCTTGCACTATTATTTATATATATATTAAATGTAAGAGCCAGGTACTGTAGTACATGCCTGTAATCTCAGCACTTGAGAGTGTGAGGCAGGAGGATTGTTGTGAGTTCATGGTCAGCCTGGAATATGTAATAAGACCTTACTCGAAAAACAAGGAAAATAGTGTTATACTTACTACTGTAAATAGTCTGTCTTTTGCAAAAAATTAGAGAAAAGTCATATTGACTCAAATATTAACGTTTTGGGTGTTCTTAATTCTCTATTCTGAGAGTTGTGGCCTGGTCTGGTTTGGGTTGGTTGGTCTGTCTGTCTAAAATTTGTTTTCTGCTTGAAGAATTTCTATCTCATGGGAAAGGCTGACAACAATGTGTTCATTCAGCCTTTGTGTAATGAAATTATTCATTTCGTCTTTGTTTTTGAGGGATAGCTTTGTTGGATATAGACTTTTTCATTCAGTTTTTTCTTTTAGCAAATAAAGTGTGCCATTCCACTGAATAGGTCAGATTGTTTTTCACCTGTTTATAATGATTCGGGTTTTTTGGGTGGGGAAAGGGAAGGAAGGGTCTACAGGGTGTTCAGGGTCTCACTACTAGATTCGACTCCTAGTGATCCCCCAGTTTACAGCCTCCCAAGCGCTGGGATTACAGGTGCGCACCACCACGCCCAGTCTCAATTGCCACGTCAGTGCACCCCAGGGGTGGGGCCAGCACGGCAGGCCCAGGGATCAGACCCCGGCCATCTGCTGAGCTGTTTGACCGGCCCTGAATCATTTCTTTCTAGTCAGTATTTTCTTTCTGTTTTTAACAGTTGACTGATGATCTTTGTGTGGATCTCGTTGGAATTTCATCAAATTTTGGCCTCTATTCAGGAAAGTTTTTGAAGCTCTTTTCAATTTCTTCTCTTTTTTTTGAAATCCTACTATATATATCTTGGTAAGCTTGGTTTTTTTTTCACAAGTGGCTGAGAGCTTTCAATTTTCTTCATTTCTTTTTCTTTTTTGATCACTTTTAAATGAATTTAGGACAGGGTCTACAGGGTGTACAGGGTTTCACTATGTAGATCAGACTTATAGTGATCTTGTTTTCATCCTCCCAAGTGCTGGGATTACAGGCGCGTGCCACCGTGCCCCGTCTCAGGCGCACCCTGGGCACGGGGCTGGCATGGCACGCTGGGGATCAAATGCCAGGCACTGTGCTCTGCCGAAGCAGGCACTTTAGTCCTCTGAGCTACCTGGCTAGCCCTTGATCACTTTTCAAGTTTACTGATTCTTCGGTCATCTCAGATCTGTTGTTAAGCCTATCTAGCGAACCATTCATTTGGAGGAGATTGTACTTTCAATTAGTTTTTTTTTTTTTTTTTGTGGAACCGGGGATTGAACTCAGATCCTTGAGTTTGCCAGTCAAGTGCTTATCCTACTGAGCCATCTCCCCGGCCCCTCAATTAGTATTTTTTAAAAAAGTAATTTATATATTCAGATTACCACAGAAATAGTTTTACCTAGTTAACTAGGAAGATATATGTACCGTTAGACCTCAGTCAGGCTCTAGAGAGTGGCCCACTGTTGCCACTATTGGACTCAGTTGTTAAGCCAACTCTCCAGTGGAGACCTTATTTTTCTTTGAAATAATTTATTTTTTGAAATAGATTCCTTTTCTTTCTCAGAAATTCTCACAGTCTTCAGTAGGTGATTGGATCCTCATGGCTCTTAACTTCATCAGTGGGTTCATCCATTGATGAGATCATGCTGGCTTCGTTGGAGGTCATGGAAATAGGAAGTGGCGTTCAGTTGGAGGAACTAGGTACCTTGGGACATTGAAGGGTATCTATTTATCCCTGGTTCTGTCCTCTCTCTTTCCCCCTATCTGCTTCCTGCCTCAAGGCAAGCAGCCTTCTCCTAACACCCTTCTGCCATAGTCTTTCAGTCTTCCCGTAAAACTATAAGCACCAGAGTCTGCTTACCTCTGAAACTATGAGAGCAAATAAATCATTACACCTTAAGAAAAGTTTCCTTTAGTTCTTTGAATATATTTCTTTCTTTCTTTTTTTTTTTTTTTTTTGTGGAACCGGGGATTGAACTCAGATCCTTGCGTTTGCCAGTCAAGCGCTTATCCTACTGAGCCATCTCCCTAGCCCCAGTTCTTTGAATATATTTCTGTTAGTTGCTTTGAAGAGTTTGTTAAGCCTACCAACTGGGCCCTCTCAGGATCAGTTTTTATTTAGTAAGAAAATATAGGGCTGGGGAAATAGCTCATCTGCATAAGCACTTGCCTGGCAAGTGCAAGGACCTGAGTTTGATTCTTGGTACTGCAGAAAAAAAGAAAGGAAAAAAAAAAACCATATTTTTCATGACAACACTATGCTAAAATTGCTAAATACATGCACAGTGTAAAAACATGTAACATCTTTAGAGTTATCAGCCAAACGTACTAGTTTTATATTTATGGTGTCATAATAATAGGTTACTTATATTCTGTTTTTTTTTAATTTTATTTAATTTATTTATTTGTGTGTGTGTGTGTGTGTGTGTGTGTGGCCAGCTCAGCCCACCAGGAGGCGGGCTGGCTGGCATGTGGTGCTGGGGGATTGAACCGTGGTCCCTGAGCTTTGCTAAGCTTGTTCTAAGTAGGTGCTTTAGACCACTGAGCCATGTCACCAGCCCCTATATTCTGTTTTTGATATAACCATGTTTTCCAGAACATATGGAAACTAAATTTTAAAATTATATGATGATATAAAATGTCCGAATGTCCCTTTCTAACAGCATAATATCCAGATGTTCACAAGACAGGAAATACTTCATTTCTCACCCAAATTGTTTCATTCCACACTAAACCCAGAATTCTGAGATTCAGAATGTATCACAGAGATACACTTTCTCTGTAGTTTACTCCATAAATACATGTATTTAAATGTTTCCTTTGGTGATTAAGAATGACTGTTAAGAACAGAATAATCACAATTATGGAATGGCATTTGGCTGCCTTTTGCTATATGAGTCGCGATGTGCAGCATTCCCCTCCCCCCGTAGTTTCGGTAGTATTAACTCTGCCTGTTAGTTTGGATTTAAACTGAGGGGTCTTTCTGTCTGTTTCTGTAGTCACTAGTATTTCTATATTGTTCAAAATCTAGTTTGTTTCTTAGTCTAGTTTTTAGGGATTGCCTCTGTGGCATCCTTCCTGTGACTCATTTCCAGGATCTCTTGTCTTACCATGCACCTAATCAAGACTTCAACTTCAGACTAGTGAAGCTTTTAGTTTCTCTATTCAACTTCCTGTTGAGTTTCCTGCTGTACCTACTAGCTATGGATTTTGAGGCCTTTCCAAATTGATTTATCCTCTGTGGCAATAAGGCTGCACATTTTTATAGCTGGACCACTTCTTTTAACACTATTGTTCTTGAGGGAACAGGAGATCAGAGAATGGGAGCAGCCTTACTGTACACAGAGACAGAATTTTCTTACCTAGGCTCTAGGAGTTTCTCAGTAATTTGCTGTCTACCTTTAATTGATTTCCAGAATTCTGGAATGTTTTTAGAAATTAACCTTATTCCAGCCAAGCATAGTGGTACGTACCATTAAGCCCAGAGAACTTGGAATTTAGGAGTAGTTTAGCTAGGTAGTTCTGGCTAGGATCACCCATCTTTAATTTTAAAAATTTCTATTTATTTATTTTTTAGTTTTGAGACATGGTCTCACTTTGTAGTTTTTTATGTTTTTTTTTTTTTTATGTGTTTAGTACAGGGTCTACAGGGTCTTACTACACAGATCAGACTCATAGTGATCCTCCTGTTTTAAGCCTCCCAAGTGCTGGGATTACAGGCACGCACCAACAATCCAAGAGCATCCAGACCTCAAAAGTATGGGCTCAGATACCTGGATGATAGTGGAAGTGAAACTTTAATGGTAGTTATGCAGAAACAGGCAGATCTGATTCAAACAGGCAGTGGCTTTTTCCCTCCAGCTTACAGGGTTCCCTCCTGCCTCATCCTGTGTGTGTGTGTGTGTGTATGTGTGTGTGTGTGTGTGTGTGTCTACAGTCTTCTCAACTGCCATCTTATTTTTTTTTTGTAAACCCACTTTCTCTGTGTATTCCTATGATTATGGAATGTTACTTATCAATTATCAATTTCCAACACCTTGTTCTGGGACTTACTGGATGGGGATTATCAGTAAATTTATATTCAAAGCCAAATGAAAATTTTTTCTTGAAACTGACACACAGTGATGACTACCACATTCTGTTCTCTAGGAGTGAGTCACTAAGTAGAGCCCACTCTCAAGGGAAGGAGATTTAGGTTTCACATGAGACAAAGAGAAAACAGTAAAGATTGTAGGCATCAGATAAAACACTGAAAGGAATAAACAAAAGGATACACCATATTCATGGATTGGAAGACTTGCCATTCTGAGGATAACTGCTCTCCCAAATTGATTTATAGATTAATGCACTCACTGTGAATATATCATTTCTTGGAGATGCAACTTGGCAAAGTAATTCAGACATAAAATGTTAAAGGCAAAGAATAACCAAATAATTCTTTTTTGGTGGTACTGGAGATCTAACTCATGACCCTGTGCTTGCGAGGCAGGTATTTATGCTGCTGAACTGTCCCTAGCACCTCAAAGAATTCTTGACAGTAGTAAGATCAGAGAATTTGGTGTATCAGCTAGCAGTGCTTTTTATAAACTTAAAGTAATTCAGTATGGTATTGTCATAAACTGGAAATACAAGCAAATGAAACATTGTAGGATAACATCCATTCATATATGGAGATTTTTATTTGCTTCAAAAGTTGTAGAGCAAGGGTCAAAAGTTGCAGGAGCTTATAGTGATCCTCCTGCCTTGCTGTCCCAAGTATTGGGATTACAAGTGTATATTACCATGTCCAGCTAGTGGTTTTTGGTTTTCTGAGATAGGTTCTCACTGTGTAGTTCAAGTTGGCCTTGAATTTACTATATATACCAGGCTGGCTTCAAACTCATCGTTATCCTTGTAATTCAGCCTTGAATGAAATATTTATCAGTGAAAGTGAATAAAACTTACTTGTAAGAACATGTATGTCTTACAAGGCTAAGCAAAACAAATCACCTACCAAAAAGAAAATATATATAAAAGGAGGGACGTGCGGGGAGATAGCTCAGTAGAATAAGCGCTTGCTGCCTGGCAAGTGCAGGGTCCTGAGTTCAATCCCTGGTACCAAAAAAAAAAAAAAAAAGGAAAGAAAAGAAAATGTACACAATTATTTGTTTTACTGGTAAAGGTAAAAATAAACTCTTAACATTTAAGAATATGTGGTTTAAGTGGTGTCACTGTAGAGAAAGGAAGTAAAAGTTCGGAGTGTGGTTACCTTTGGGATGTGATTGCAGTGGTGATGAAGAAATGCTAAAAGAGTTTTAGTCCCCAACCCAGGGGGTAATAACTGGGTGTTTGCTTACTGAAAAATAGTGAAGTTATATTTATTATTTTATGTGTGCATTATAAATGCATTATGTTTTATATTTTAATTTCTAAAAAAATGACTTCAGGCCAGAATGGGTTTATATAAATCTGTTATTAAGTAGCCTTTTCACAAGCACAGCCTAGAGCTACCTTGTCAGAATTGTAACAACTGTTTGGAGACAGAAATATTTATAAATAAAATAATTATTACTAAGTCAATTTAAAAAAGCTGACAGATTTAATTCTCATTTGTATAAAGATTGAGTGAAGAGCAACAAATTCTTCATTGCTGTAGTTTTATAATAAGGGTTGTTATGAAAAGGTTGAAGACAGAACATTTGATTAGGATTGACCTGTTAATTTTTATGCTTTGATGCAAGGTGGACAGGGCAGGTGGGGAAAAGGGGCACTCACCATTATACAGTGAGAATTTCTCCTAAATCTGAACTGGAATTAGTGCTGCCACATATGAAATAAGACATAGTTTTTATTTTTTATTTTTATTATTTTTAGGTTACAAGTATTTATTGCAAGTACATTTTTTCTAATATTAAAAATATAATATGGGACTAGAAACATTCAGAGAATGGAAGCCATCAAACCTATTCCTGTGCCATTAGCACATAATGCATCATCCAAGGACAAGATAATTTACAGCTTAACATTAGGGAACCCTATGCACTTGTTTAGACAGTGGGAAAGAAAAGCCAGACGACAAATCCAATCCTCAACATTTTACAGAATCTAAGCACATAAAATTGTACTACTTAATATATTTCTCTGTGAACTTTTTGTGAAATTCAGCTTACGGTGTATCACTACAAATCTTTTGTCTTCTGATCATCTACGCATTTTGCACAGTGCTTAAAGACAACATCATCATCCTGCCTTTTAACTTTGAAGCTGGCCTGAGGCTGAGACAGCCAGTGAGAGTAAGGAGAAGGTTTCCACAACGGATGTTTTCTGGATGAATCTTTCCTCAGCTGTTTGTTCTTGTTCCTTCTGGCCTGCTGTCAGCTCTTTCTTTTTCAATGTTTTCCAATTCTGCAAGAAGAGCTGCAGTATATGTCATCACTCTCCTCTTCAAAGTCTTCATTTTCCTCATCTGTTCAAGGATCTTCTGCATCAAGGTTGGCAGCAGGAGTCTGGTCTAAGTGAGGCTTCTTGGACACTGAAGAGGAGGTTGTGTGTTCTCGGGTTGGATGATCTCTATTTTTTTTTTTTTTTTTTGCAGCAGCAGCTCTCTCTCTCTCTCTTCCAAGTCTCTCCTAAAGTCAGGAGTATGAACCTCTTCAGGGGCATGCTGAGTAGTTTCTCTATATCTTTGTATGAGACGGAAGGTCCCTATTTGACCTATTTGAATATTGTTTGAGAGTTGGCTCAAATCACCTTCTCGGGGCCAGGGAGGTGGCTCAGTGGAATAAGCGCTT